CAAGACTTCCTCTCTTACTCTTCTCTTGGACTTGTCTCTCTTTTAAATATTCATCTATCCCTACGTGGCCTTACACACTTCTATGGCTTTAAACACCATCTGTGACGCCCCAACCCAATTTAAACCCTTACTGCCTATTCAGCATCTCCACTTGCTTGTCTAATTAACATCTCAACTCAACACTGCCCAACTACTGATACCCGATCACCTTCCCCACATCCCTCCCCCCAACACACACACACACACACCCATACCCTCTCCCCCCAGGCTTTCTCTAGCTCAGTAAATATCATTACCATTTACTCACTTGCTCAGGCCCAAAATTCGGGACTCACACCTGACTGCTTTTCTTCCCTCACGCTCTTGGGCGCTCTTGGCAGATGAGCATAAGTTAGATAAGTGAAGACCTGGATTCAAGGCCAAGAGCATGGCCATGGGCAAAGGCCCACATGAAAATAGATGGAAAGTTGAGAATGGTGAGTAGCGGAAAGGCAAGTGGAACAAGGTAGCTCAAGGTGAGTTTGGAAGGACAGTTTGGTTATAGACAATGGCTCTCCTTGCATAAAAACTTTATTCTTTGGGCAACAGCAAGTCATTGAAAGAATGTGAGCCTGATCTGACTGACCATTGGTTTAGGAAAAGAACTTTGACAATGAATTTAAATATGAGAAATTAAAGATAGGGAAATGAATTACAAAACTATAACAATAGTTCAGGTAAGTAGGACGAGAATCTGAGCTAGACAGTGAAGCTGTCTAGTACACACAGTGGAGAAAGGGTGAGAGACATGAAAACTCACAGTCCCCAAAGCAGGAAGACTCGCCGACTGGCCGTGGGATGAGGGAGAAAGAGGAGCAGAAGAAAGTTGTGTTTCAGGCAGCGCTTCTTGGAAGACGGGATTGCCATGAACTGAGGTAAAGAACAGTTGATGGTAGGCACATTTTTAGAAGGAAAAAATGAAGTTGGTTTGAGACAAGTTGACTTTGAGATACCTGTAATGTACTGATGGAAATTTCCAGCAGAATCTGAAGCTCAGAAGGAAGGGCAAAAACCAAGGAAGTATTTGAATATCCTGACCCTTCGGGGAACAATGACTATAAAGATGATGTGAAAATGTGTTGGAGCAGATTAAATCGCCTGAGAGAAAGAAGATCGGACGACAGGGCCTTGGAGCATCCATCTCTTCAGCACAAGAAAGAACAATCACGCAGAAAGACCGAAGTAGGGAAGGCCATCGGGGAGTAAGTGTCCTAAAACCCAAGCGAGAGGGAGGCGCAACAAGGAAGAGGCTCGTTTCAACATTGGACGTTGCTACCAAAACGTAGAGCAGAATGAGGGCAGAGAAAACGCTGTTGGAGTGGGCAGTTCACCTGCGAGGGGAGTTTTAACGAAGCAGTGGGAACAGACGCCCCGCCACAGGGCTGCAGGGCGAGCGCGAGGGCAGTGACGTGGGAGAGCCCCGTGGTCCCGAGTCCTTGCTCATCACCACAGACATTTCCGTGCTCCAGTTCCACAGTTCTCTCGTCGTCATGCGGGCACCAGTGAATCTTTTTGTCCTCCTGTCCATGCATGTGACCGTTTGTTACAGGCGTATGAAATATGCCTGTGATGACAGTTCTGTTCTGCTTTTCATCGTGGTTCAAAACCAAAGCCTAAATGTTATCCCAACAACATCATTTGGATGACACGGATAATCACGTGTCCGTTCCAGGAAATAAATGTCTGGGGAGTAAAAGCTTTCATCCTGCGTGCCGTGAAAAATGCTTTTCCTGATTTGGGAAGTCTTTCAGTAGTTCAAGAAAATCCTTTACTTCCTCTGCAAGAGGGAGGGGCCCCATGATTGGGGGAAACGTCACCTCGGTGGAGGGACTCATATTCTCTTGGTAGCACAACGAAGTGAAAAATAAGAACCAGAAGGTCTGAGAGAGGCTGTAGCAATCTTCTTGGTGGCTCTGACTTCACATTTGCCACAACTATCATAAATGAACAGATAATGTCACAGCAAAGAGGTTTAGCAAGAGAGAGAAAGGGAGATGGGGTGGGCTGGGGTGGGGTGGGAGTACAAGTCAGTGACCGAGAGTAGCCCCCTTCCGCCCCAACTGTGTCACTTTCAACTGACCACGTGGATACTCCCACCTGGCCCACAAGGGCATGTGCTTTAGGTCAGTCCTTACACTGGCCTGCCCACCTTAGGAATCTACCCTGGGCTTCTAGTGCAGCTCGGAGTCTGTGGGCAGGAACCAGGCCCAATGCCTCCGACTGCCTGCCCCTCGGCCTACTGCTTGCCGATGAGACATAAACGTGACAGGTATGCTGGAACCTCACTGAGACTGCGTGGGCTAGCTGGGAAGCCTCCCCACTGTGGAGACAGCTGGGGCACATCCGTCTCATCACATGCCTGGACTCAGGGCTTTCCTAGCAGGGAATACTCAGATGCCTTTACCAAGTTCCCTTGCAGGGAAGCGTCTCCCCGGTGACGCCGTCTCCTCAGGCCTGGAAGAGGCCATTTGTGTGCCATCCCTTAAGTGTCAAGGCCCCACCTAGAAAGACAGCAGTCTGCGCAAGCCCTCTGCGTTCCCAGTTTTCCCTGGGTGAATAATAAGTCAGATGCGGCTTTCTGTGCCTTATGTGGGCCATGCTGTGGCACAAAGGGTTGTCTCCATTTTCTTGTTCTTTCACAGGTGGCAGCATGCCGTTTGCCTCCTTCTGACCTCGTGATTACTTACTATCTCCTATGTTTAGTAGGAATGCCTTGCTTTATTGGCATCTTGATCTTTTTTAAACATCCCCTGATACCTCCACGAGCGTCTTTGCCCACATCTCTCCAGTTCTGCCCGTGTTCCTCCGTCAGCGAGTTCCTACTCGTCCTACTTGCACCGAATGGAGCGCTCTGGGCCGACACGGAGCACCAGGCGCTTCCATCTCCGTGACGGAAGACTGTCGCCGCGTGTTTTATTTACTGAAGGCTCCCCGGGAAGCAGAGAAGTCTCTGTGCCCAGCTCCCCTGCCCTGTGGCTGCTCCAGATGTGCGCGGTGGAGGGGCCCGGATCCCCCACTGAACACGGAGATGGTGCCCAGAGAGCCCCGCCCCAGCCTGGCCCGGATGTATGTAAATGACGAGTGTGCTTTAGAAGCTCCGTGAGTTCACCCTGGAGCTCTCCAGGGATCGGGAGCTGCCTCTTTTCTTTCTCCTCTAGACAGGAAATGCAAATAAATGAGTGTGTGTTGGGGGACATGGGAGAGAGAGACAGAGAGGATTAAACAATAAAAGCCCCCAGTGGGGAGCATTGGTAACAATTAGGACACCGGTAACTGAAGTTGGGTGGAGGGGAAAGAGAATGGCAAACCAAGGGGACGGGCACCGAGGGGCTTTGCTGGGACCTGCTGTGTAAGGGTGCAGGCTTGCAAGGCGTAGTAGGTCCTAGACATCTGGTGACAGAACACAGACGACGACAATATATTATAATCATCACACTTGCTGAGAGATTAGTGCCTAATGGTTCCAGCCACTGAAAGGGTCATTATGTCACGTGACAGAAGCGCTAATGATCGCTACAATAGCAATCACATCACACCATACAAATCTCTCCAATTAACACACACACCTTAAATTTACAGCGTTGTATGTCCAATACTTCAATGAAAAAATGTTGACATGCACCTTTGGGAAGGAGACCAAAAGCTGGGGGTAACCCACATGGGTCTGAGAGCTACATTCTCACCTTGCTTAGGGGGTAAGACTGTGAAGTGGGCGGGGCGCCGACACGCAGGGCCTGGTCTGGCCAATGGTCCACTCTGCACTTGGGGAGGATGCAGTAGACAACCCTTGGGTGTTTATGGGTATCTACCCTTCGGCTATACTGGCTGAAGGGATGAAATGCAAGTTCTCTAAAGTACTTTCTGCCTCCACCTTTCCTGTCCTCCTGCGTGTCTGAGACCACCATGGAAGTTGGGGGAAGAGGGTAGACTGAACCACAAATTGAAAACACCTTCTTTTTTATACACTAACCACCACCATTGCCAAGTCCCTCCCAGGAGTGGCCTCTTTGGGAAGGCACAGCAGTCCTGACTGGGTTCCTCTCCCCCTCAGAATGATTCTCTTCACTCCCCATCCTCCCTATACTAGTTCCCTCATTTTTATTTTATTTTATTTTATTTTTTAAGCATGCAGTAATGAGATTTTATTTATTAGAGAGAAGGGAAGGGAAGAAGAGAGAGAGGAGAAACATCAATGTGTGGTCGCCCCTCAAGTGCCCCCTACTGGGGACCTGGCCTACAACCCAGGCCTGTGTCTTGACTGGAAATCGAACCGGTGACCCCCTAGTTCGCAGACCCACACTCAATCCACTGAGCTACACCAGCCAGGGCAAGTCTCCTCATTTTTAATTGCCTGTAGATGTTGCTTTGTGTTTTAGAAGCCTTTCATTCACATTGATGTCTCTGAGCTCCTCCACAATCAGGAAAGACAGGCTTCATGATTAGCGACTTCACTGGGCAGGCGTTCAAGGACCGAGGAGACAAGTGGTCGGCCGAGGGTCACACAGCTGGCAAGTGGAAGTGACTTCAGTCCAGATCTTTGGCCTTTGAACCCTGGATCTGCAGGACCCCACATTCTTCATCCGGAGACCAAACAGCGTGGGCACAGACCGATAGCGCCGTTGGTGGAAACCACTGAAATGCACCTGCCAAGCAGACACCACTCGTTCTGAACAGTGGGAACGGCACCGCTGTGGCCTGCCTGACGCGGTTACTGTGGATACGTTCATGACAAGGGGAGGAACACCACACGGTCCATCGGGCTGCCCCGTACTTGGTGGGGGATTCCCCCCGCAGGGGAAGGGGCTGGTTATCACCTCCCACCCCACCCCCATTCTCTCCCTAATGCCAGTGTGGCACTGTTCCCTGCCTTTTGTTCTGGTATCCCCACTCCTGGGAACTCCTCCTGGGCATGTAATTCAAAGGAACGAAAAAGCTGAACACATAAAGGTGTCATAGCAGCTTTATCTATAACAGCAAAACACTGGACAGGTTTAACACCCAATTACAGAGGAGTATCGACGTTACGGCAGGTCAATTTGATGGAGTAAATATTATGCAGCCATAAATACAATGACCGTAATGATTACATTGCAAAGGGGAAAAGAACACAACGTCAAACATAAACAGCAGAATAAAAAGCATGCTGGCTACGGTTTACATTGTTGTACGGTCCAGGGCTGGAAGAATGAAGATAGTGGGTTCTAGATGAATCTTTTCACAAAGCTTCCTTTCCATGTTGTTCTTCCAAATACAAATCATACAGGAAACACAAGATAATAAATAACGATTGGTCAACATTAGCCCAACTGCTGTTGTGGGTCTGTGTGCGTGTGTGTATGTGCATGTGCATCTGTGTGTCTCTGTGTGCATGTGTGTCTCTATGTGTGTCTGTATGTGCTTATGTGTATATAGTCTAATAATTTATCATTTTCATTACTTGCCAGATAAGTTTCCCTAAGATTTTTAACCTCTGTGCTCATAAATTCGTGCATCTACAGGAAGAGCAGTTTTTATAGAAGGACACCCAAAAACGTTTCTCGAGCGAATGAATGAGGAGACCGTGGGGAGGGAAGGTGTCTGTTGATGGGCGGGAGCTTCGTGGCAAACAGTCACTTTTGAAACTCTTGGAAAAAGGGCAGAAACGTCAAGAAGTCCTTCCGGGTTACAGTGCTAACGAGGGAGGCAAAGCCGCTTCCCCACTGCCCTTTGCACTGCCGCCTGTCATGACCCCCTGTCTATAGTGTGCAAATGTGTGCAACACGTGCATTGAAAAGCACGCTTAATTGAATAAATGACAGGTGGAGCACGTAGCTCCTAAGGGACAATGAGAGACAGGTATGACTCCGTTTCCCCACTCCCCACTCTGCCCACACAGCCAACCTAGGGGGCTCTGTGTTCTGGGGTCCAAAGGAAGGAGACGTCATCAGACACCCACACCCGGGAAGGAACTGGGGCCCCAGCAAGGGCTGGATTTGTGGTGCTAAACCACCAGACACAGTCATTTAAGAAATGTCTTTGAAATGATGGTAGTTACAATGACAACGGTAATTACTTTCCTTCAAATCATTGGATCGTTGCATGTCATAGCTGGTTAGGACCTTGGGAGCCCAGCACCATGCTGGGCACATACTAGGTGCTGAACAGGGTGTGAGGCCCGCCTGGGACCCAGGAGACCTGGGCCCATGTCCCAGATGCTCCCAGCCTCCATGATTACGGCTTTCACTTAAAGAAGTTAATTTATGTTATTTTCTAAATAAGGAAACAGAAGTACTTGATACCAAATTTTTTAAAAGAGGAATTCAGTACAGAAAAAGTGACTATCCTGGCTGCCCCCTTTCCCCTGGCCACCTACCTGGGTCCCTTTCCAGCCCTGTCTCTGCAGGCCCAGGCCAACGTGCAGAGAAGGACGGTTTCAGCAACTTCAAAGCACCCCGTAGTGTAAAAGTGTCCTGACAGTCTGCACTCGGTGAACATTTAGGTTGGCTCCCATTTTGCTCTTGCAAAGCATGGGACTGTTAAAGAGTAAACTGAGGCATACTGGACATTTTAAGAGTTCATCTGAGCAAAAACCAGTTCAAACAGGGCAGTGCCAACCTGGAAGTGGTTGGGAGCAGCCCACGACCTTCAAAGAGAAAAGGCAGAGAGCAAGGGAGTGAGTGATTGGTTGCGGTTCTCAGCCGGTTGAATGTTTGTGACTGGTGGTCCTCAGGTTTCGATTTCAAGTCCCTGAAGACGTGTTCAGGCTCCCGCTTTGCTCTGCTTTGCTCACGTCGGCCTCCCCGGCATTGGAGCCACCTCAGCCCAGTGGCCTCCTATTAATTTAACGGGATGACGCACGCCTGCAACTCTGCACATGCGTGAGAGCATCTGTGGTTCACGTTCCCACCTGAGGAACTGCCAGGAAGTGAAGCCGAGGAAGCTGATTGGACAAGCCTAGACACCTGTGCCTCAGTCGGGATCAGGTCCCATTTACGAACTAACGTACGGAGATTTGACAATGAATGACGACTTCCTATCAGAACACCTGACGTCCTTCTGTTTATTAAATTCTTCTCTTGAGCCCTTTCCCTTACAATGTTCTTCATCGAAGAGTTCTACATTTTAAAGTTAATTTTATTTCTAGCCGTTTGCTCTTTATTTCTGTTATTTAAAATAGAGTCTTTTCTTACCTTTTATCTTTGGGTTATTTTTTGTGTATATAAAACCTATTGATTTTTGTCACTAGTTGTGTTAATGGTATAAAAACATTCGGTTAGTGCTCTTAGGTTTTCTAGCCCGCAGTGAATGTCCCCAGTGAGTATTAATGTACCTCCTCCTTCCCAGATTGTAACCAGCATTTCTTTTCCTCGCCTGAGTTAGCCAGTATCTCCAGCAGAATTTGCCAGTGGTGTCGGTGGGCACGTTTGGCTTGGCTTTTTCCCACATAACTGCTAATGTTATTTTCAATTTCCTCAATCAAAGGCTCTGGAAGAGAAAACTACATTATTTTCTGATTGGCTGATGCCTGAAAGTAAACACATACGCCATTGTGAAGCATCGCTTTATTAGAGATGTTCTGTGTGATGTAAGTTACCGTGCAATTACACAAAAAGATGAGATGAATGAACCTGACCAGCTTTTCCTGTTACACTCCGGAACACACACACACAAAGTTAAAGGTGCACCCTGACATGGATATCGGTTTGGATTTCATGTGAGAGAAAGTCAACTGCATGAAGCAATAAATTACACGACAAAATCCAAAGATTAGGAAAGGCGAGGACGTTCAAAATCGAAGCATTAGGTTGCATTTCCAAGACCCTGTGTGGACCAAGATGCACAGGGCTGCTTTCTCACATGCTTCCTGAACCCCACCAGGTGGATGGGGCTTGTCAAGGAAACCCATCCAGGCTCAGGCAGCCGCGGTGGCTGCTGGCACGGCTTCCAAGGCTGATGCAGAACGAACGGCCGGTGAGGACGGTGGCGGTGGGCAGGTGTGCAGGAGCCGGTCTGAGCCTGGACGTCACGGCCGCAGAACAGCGGGGTCCTGCTGCGGGTGGGAAGCCAAGGATTGCCGGGCTCAGTTTCTCCGGCTCTCAGGACAGGGTCCTGAGGTGACCATGCATCCTTATGTGAACAAATAAGCTCCACAGCTCGAGGTCCCAAAAAGACACCGAAGGGACCTTATGAAGGGCCCCCGCTGAGAGCGCCCCGCCTTCTCTGCTACGCTCGCTCAGCCGCTGACCAGCCCCGCATCTTGGAGAAAGTCCATCGGTCTCCCAAGGCTCAGCACCATCATCTCCAGCACCTACCTCCTGAGGCTGACATGAAAATTAAGGGGACACTGGTTAAAAGGGCTCAGGACACCCCCAGTGCAGACCCGTGAGCCCTGACATGTTCCCACGGGGTGGGGAGACCAGGCCGGCTGCAGAGGAAGGAAAGTCTCCCATCCTGCATACCTGTTCAGTTTGGGGAAAGATCATTTTAATCTTTTTTTTTAAAGATTTCGCTCATTTTTAGAGAGGGGAAGGGAGGGAGACAGGAGAGGGAGAGAAACATGGATGTGTGAGAGAAACATCCATTGGTTGCCTCTTGCACACCCCCAGTTGCAGCCCCCCACCCCCAAGCATGTGCCCTATCCGGGAATTGAACCGGCAACCTTTCGGTTTGCAGGCAATGCCCAATGCACTGAGCCACACCAGCTTCAAGAAGTTTGCAGGAACTGGGATTGTTGCTGATTGGGGACATGCCCCGACTCAGGCTGGTGCAAGGTAACTGGGCAGCCATTGAAACGCCAGCATCCCACCTGGTACGCAGTGGGACACACTGTTTATCGTCGCGCCGCGTCATCACAGAGACACCAGACTCTAAAGTCATCGTTTTCAGTCTGCGCTTTCACTCACAGTCTTGGCTGTCTCTACAAAAGCTTCAATTGTTGTTGTCCTTGTCTCGTTGCTTTTAAGTTCAAACATTCATTTCTATTTATGTTTTCCTGGCAAAAACTCCCCTGTATCATGGGTGGAGACACCCAGACCCAGGTCTTCCAGGGCCACAGTGGCCGAAGAGAGGGGGCTTGCCCTGAGAAGGCCGTGCGGCCAGAGGAAGGTCTCCGGCCTTGGGCTGGCTTCCCGGCTGCCGCGAGACCAGCAGAGACGGCAGAGGAATGGCAGCAGCTGGGGAGAGCAGCGCGTGCCTGCCCGGCACTTCCCCGTGGTCGGGCATCTCAGCCAGGAAAAGAGCACGCCGCCCGCTAGGGGTGGGCGCTAGTGGGAGAGCCCTTATTCGGGGCCCGCTCAGAGCAGCCATTAGCCTGCAGAGCGCTCCAACACGCCGTGGCCTCACAGGACACCCACGAGGGTTTGAGTGATGCAAAAACACCCGAGTTAGCGACCCGAAAGGCGTCTTGTGTCTGGGGGCTTTTTAAAATGACACGGGGCAAAGGAAGGATTCGTTATTGGCACTAGGGTCAGCCCCAACTCTCCCAACTCCTGTCCCCTGGAATTAATTCAATGTGTGAGGACTCTGAGTGCCACGTGACTAGTAACTGACCATTTTTAGAGGTCATTATAACTAACTCAGGGATTCGGTTCATCACTGGAAGACCAAGAATTCCTGGGAAAAATTAATTGTACTTATTATTAAAATGCATTAAATATTTTCAAAAATGCTCAAGGAAAGACTGCGGGAAACACCATCAGCGAATTCAGAGGCTGCTTTTGCTCTGTTCCCTGGAGACTGGCCAAGCGCTGGCTTCCGCGGGGCGGCTCCCGACTGGGGACAGAGCGGGGTGCCGCACGGGAGGCTAGCGGAGCGCCAGCTGCCTTCTGGAAACAAGAGCGGGACGGCAGGAAATGACAGAAACCGCCTCGTGTCTACACGTCCTCGTGAGGGCAGGAGCATCACGCATCTTGTGAGCAGAAGAACAGAAGAGTTCGAAAGACAGATCAATGGTCTCCGAAACGTGGCAAGTATGGAAAGTCACTGCTGTGCAGGAGTCTGAGTTTGGGCTCAAAAACTCTCTCTCTCTCTCTCTCTCTCTCTCTCTCTCTCTCTCTCTCTCTCTCTGAGGGTGTAAATCAGCACTTGGCCACGCCCCCTGCGGAGAGCGCTGTGTAACACTAACTTGGTGGGCTATTAGGGTTAAAACGAAAAAAAATCTGTGATCCATCAGACTCGGGAAGTATGGGGTCAGACAAAAATCACAGGGTCTTTTTCCAAAGCCCCCCCATGGACCAGTGCGCCCATGTGCTCCGTGGCTCTCCAGGTGGCAATTACGGCCCGGGGCGTTTCCCAAACGTCCTCAACCAGGGAGGATTCCATGTTCGTGCAGCATCTCTGGGAGGCCGCCTCCCCCCATGCACTGTGGGGGGTGCTGCTGAACTGGACTTAGCCTGTTTTATAGCTGCCTCAGCAGGGAGGGGCTCTGACGCCCCCCTAACAGAGGACTGCATGGTATCACTGAGCACCGCACTGCCCTAGTGAGTGCTATACTGTCCCAGCGAGCACTCACTGCCCTACTAAGTACTGCGTCGTCTTAGTGAGTGCCGCACTGCCTAGCCAAGCGCTGTCCTGCCTTACCGAGCACTGCGCTGCACCGAAGGTTCTACACCAGTGTCCCATCCGACACTGCATGAACCGGGTTCAGGAGGGAGGGAGGGAGGCTCAAAAGTTCATTCGCATGGCCTCAGCCACTCCCGCCCCTGCTCCCTTCCTGCACTCGCCCTTGGAGCATTTTAGAACATCCCGACAGCCCCCAGGGGACAGGCTTTGCCACACAGAAAACGGAAACGCCGCACACCCCCTGACAGGTAGGCTGTTACCCGAAAGGTATCTCGTGGAATTTTTTATGTGAATTTGAGATTGCAGTGAATTCTCATCACAGGGGCCGTGATGGGAAAAGCTGTTCATGCCAGTTGCTGGGGTTAATTAGCACCTTATATAATGCACCTGGAGGATAGTGACACAGGTAGGGTGGGAGCTACATCTACGTTTGGTTTCCTTTTTATAGGGTCTTAACTCAGAAGACATTTCAATTGCCACAGCAAGCACAATTGTACAGGAAAAGAGGTGCTTTTTCCGGAGAACTCACCCCAACTTCTGTCTAAAGGGGGCTGAGGTGAAAACATTTTCAAATGCTGTCCATGTCCTCCCATTATCGACACAGGAAAGGTGCCCCCAAGTGACTGGTAGAAGGAAATCGGGCCAGTGGTCCCCGCCACCCGCACGTTCCCCCTGTGGGCCCGTCTCAGCCCCAGGAGAGCGGCCCGGGCCACCGTCGTGCTGGGAGACCTCGCGCCCCATGTCCCCGTCACTGGCCCAGGCACACGGGTGAGAGGTCGGGGGGGGGGGGCGGGGAGGCGAGAGCAACCCCTGAGGGTTCTCAGGGGACGCACAGTCACTCACCCTGCTTCCACTGCCCCGCACGCTTCGGGCAGCGCGTCCAGGGCACCAGCCGTCACGCAGGAAGCCGCCGCCTCTCTCTCTCCTGCCTCCTTCGCTGGCTGGAGCTGCAGGATCATGGCCTGCAGAGTGTCCTTCACCATCTGCAGCTCCCTCCTGAGACACTGTGCGCCCTCGTTAAGGGACATGCGGGAGGCGACAGCGACCCTCCGCAGCCCCCGGGGGGCCTCGGGGGGCGTGCACGCCGGCTGGAAGCGGAAGGGTGCTGCCGTGGAATGGCAGCTTCAGGTTCTCACCGATCGTAGGAATTAAATATTAATACGCATTTTACACTTCCTTGAAGAGGTACTGCGATTTCTACAAGGCCTGCGGCTTCATCTCAAGTGAGGTTTCAAAAAGGAAACGGAAGCGTCAGCTCTTAGACTGAGACGGGGGCCACCTGGGACGCTCCATGAGACATGGCCTGTGTGGCAGTGACTCCCGCCGAGCCCCCAGCTGGGGCCGGGGGTGGGGGGGCACCGCCACAGCACATGCTCTGGCAGCGCAAAGGCCAGGAGGCCGGGGACCAGAGTCTCCCCGATACATCCGGGTATTGCGGCCCCCACAGGTCCAGGCTCCAAGTCGTGAGTTACGGTCCCTGTCGGCCATCGGCCAGCCTTGTGGACTTGTACATCACTTTGCATCTCAGTTTTCTTACGAAACAATGACTTTTAAACCCCTGTGGCTTCTAATCAGCTGCCACGTGTTACTAAACTCGCAGGGACTTGTAAAATAGCCCCTCGGGGGCTGGAGATTTGACAGAATGCAGGGAGCCTGCCTCTTCCGGGTCAGTGTGTCTTCCTTAAACTGTTGGGGTCTCAGTCCCCTAACCTGCAGAGTTGCCGCCGAGGCAGCGGGAACAATCACGGGGAGCTCAGCACAGGGCCACGGGGGGCAACTGGGGCTGTCCCTCCCTCAGGAAGTGGGCCGTCTGCCGGGTGTCTGAGCTGGGGAGCAGGCACCCAGGGGCGGCTTTTCTGGCTGTCCCTCGGGACCCTCTGCTCCTCCCCGCTGTGCCCGCAGTGGGAACAACGCTAATGCCAACGCAGGACGAGGGAGGGGCTGAGTCTGTTCATGTAACCAGCACGCTAACCGGACCTCATCCCAGAGGAACGAAGGTGAAACAGAGAGATATCTTTCCACCATTGAAACATCTGTCAGTCGTCACGCGGGGTCAGACCGGATCGGAGACGGAGACAACGCAGAGCTGTGGGGAACGGAGCCTGCAGAGATGCCCCCTCTCACAGTCTGCACTGCAGTGTTCTTCTATTTAAGGACAATGTCAGCGCAATGTCAGGAGAAAAAGACAACCTCAGGTTAGGATGTACAAAGGTTTCTCTTTAAAAAAAAAGAAAAAGAAAGAAATGCCAGAGGATCCTGGGTATTATGCAAATGACCCTCTCTTAAGCGAAAATGCTGAACCACCCTGAAAAGCTTTTGGCAGCTTTCATCCTCCTGGAGCTTCACCAGGCTTCCTCATTTGTGTCATTTATGTACATTTACTACGATGGCTCACTCCTTGCACCTGAACTTGGGAAGGAGGGTAGTGTGAAGGGGGTGCAAGGAAGAAAGAATCTGATGTTTTTTAACAGCTTCGTTTCCTCCATTTCTCAGGACGGCTCTGCTGCTGTTTAGTGAAAACACAGAGGACTTTGCACAAGCAGAAGCCTGAGTGGTCCCAGACTGAACACCGAGCTGCAATCTGATCACAAAGTCATGCTACGTTTACAAAGAGCACGCCCAGAGCTTAGGCAGTTTATGAATCCTGACGAACGCCTCAGAGTTAATGACCACTGGCGTGCGCCCTGGGACTACACGCCCCTGTTCGTAATATGCTGAACGACGACAAAGGTTTTGAGGGAGAGAAACGCAACCCAAACGCGATGCTTCTTAAAGAACTCGTCCAACTCGGGCTTGGGCGGAACACACACACACACGGCCAGGGGTTTTAAAGCGAGAAGCCACAAAAGAAGAAGAGTGAGTCCTACAACTGAAACGTCACCGCCCCTCACACAAGACCCCACTGGCCCATCCGCAGGAGCCCGAAGGCCACGATGCCAGGGCGTGACCGCCTACTCTGTGAGGCTGGCCGATCACCTGCCACTTTAACAGTCCCACTTGTAAAATGCAGTCTTGTACCTTTGTCAAAAAGGTATTCTTCTCTTATGAGCACAGCAAGAGAATGGAGGCTAGTTTACTAATAGAGCAGATCAGCAAACGCCATCCGCTCTCACCGGGGCCAGGCACCAGAACTCCCAGGAGCCTCCTGGAGAGAGCCCGTGGGGCAATAATCATCACCAAAATGAGTAAGAGAACCAACCTGCCTGCAACTCCAAAACATTTTGAATATATTGAAGTGGAAGAGAAAACAGGAGAAAATGTGAAATGGGGTGGGGTGGGGTGTTGCAGAACAATTTGTAGGCAAGGACCCTAATTTTGCCAGAGAGAGAGAGAGAGAAGAGAGAGAAACATAAGTTGTTTCCAGCCAGAACAGTGCCTTGGAGAGACATGGTGGTGAACTTGCAGGCGCTGACCCTGGGAGGGAGACGCAGCCCTTTTGCCTCCTTCAGTCACGTTGGCCATGGACGTGCGCCCTTGCGTGTTTAGGTCCATGTGTTCCTAAAAGAACCCCCTTGGAACATTTCACCATAAGCAGTTGGGGAGATGAAAGCACAGGTCTCTTCATTCTTCCCTGCACTCCTGCAAGTAGTCAAATGCTTCCTGAGCTCCTACTGTGTGCTGAGACCTGGACGTGGGAAGGGCAGGAGTCACACAGTCCCTGCCATCGTGGAGCTCCGGTGCCTGTGAGCGGAGCCCAGGACACCCACACGAGCACACACAGAGACTGGATAGGGGACTGGGAGCAGGGCAGGACGTGAGCACGCTGGCTGCTCTTGTGTGTAAGAGACGGAGGGGCCACGGCAGAGGCATGGCGACCAGGGGGCTAAGCAGTAACGCAGACCAGACAGTCTGGACCCAGGAGGCAGCAGTGCTGGCGGTGAGAGGTGGTCGGACTCCGGAGGGTTTGAAGACAAAGCCAGCAGCACAGGGCGACAGACCAGACAAGCACTGTGAGAGGGGAAACACATGGAGAACAACTCCCAGGTTTTAATCTAAAGCAACGAACTGGAAAGACGCACTTGCAGTTCATCAAGACGGAGAAGGCTGGGGATGAGCTGGGGTGTTTTCTGAATGTGGGGAGGAATTTGACTTCGGAGTGTCAAGTTGGAAAAGCCCATTTGTCAGCCAAGTGGAGATGGTGAGTAGGAAGCAGACAGGAAACCGAGGCTGGGGAGAGATCCAGGCTGCAGAAAGGCACCCACGGGTTACATTGAATGATGCATTTTTAAAAATATTTTCCTAGCATTTTCTCACTGCGTCTCATTTGATACAACTTACCAAAATCTTCAGCCTACTAAGTAGTAGAGTAGGACTAGAATCAGAATTTCTCATTGCTATTCCAATAAGCTCATGGTTGAAAGCTATTGATGTATTTGACCTTGACTTTTGTCCAAGAGCTGAGCAAACACAGTAACTCCACGTTGGAATGCCAGGGGTAGTCACTACATCTAAGTACACGTAAGATCTGACTGAGTCTGAGAAAGCCTGTGCCATAGAAACCTCTGTCACTGAGCACAAAGTTTCCTGCAACAGATACACCACCAGAGATCAGTGGCATCTAAGAAAAATGACACATTCATTATAATAATGGCACAAGAACTGACATGCCAACATCTTTAAAACCCCTTTGGAACCCAAGAGCATTCTTCACCAGCAGAAGACAGACTGCACGTGTATTAAGCAAGTGTGTAACTCCTTGATAGTGCACTTGCACCAACAGGATTCGCAATCAGTGAAGGGGTAAGACGGCAAAGCCCGAATCACCGGGATCACACAGGAACACGGCGGTAAGGCAATGCTGTCATTTAGGGCGGCTGTCTGCAAAGATCCCCCAAGTCCTCCAAAGGGGTCTTCTGTTTATACGTGAAAATGACTGAGTGTTGTGCTTTCAGTTGGGTGGACAAGAGATCATTTCAGCCAGCGAGTCAGAAGGAGGTCTTAACTTCCACCTGAGACCCTTCGGTTCAAAGAGAAATAACAGGGCCTCCTTTGAAACTGCTTCTCATCGGCTAAAGCGCTTCCTCACATCAGCAGCCACGGGGGCCAACAGGCCGGGGACACTTACCTTCAGGGAAAGCCAAAGGTGAGGGATACAGCTGCTCGAGAGCAGAGAGGGAAGCCTGCCCCCGCCACGCCCCCGCTTCACAGATTTGGTGCCTGTGCAGGGTGCCCTTTGTGAGGCCTGCCCGGTGCCGACGCCGCATGCCCAGACCCTCACCCAGGCTTCCTGTTCCCCGCCACTCCCATCGGTGGCAGCCACGCCAGAGGGCCATGGCCACCAGACCTGCCTCAGTCCAGCACACACAACGCCTTAAACAGCAACCTCCTAGGGTCTCGGTTTTCTGACCTATAAACTTTGAGAGTGGAGGAGACCCATGATCCTCACGGATCCCCCTCCAGCCCTTAGCTCTTGAAGCAGAAAAAGTTCTCCAGGAGACAGAGCAACTCCCCCAGACTGTTACTTTCGTCTGATCAAGCTACAAATTGGAATGCTGAACCAAACAGGGATGCTCAGGGCGTGCGATGTGGGTACAAGCCCCTGGAGGTACTCCGAGTGCTCGCGTGCCAGCAAACGCCACCAAAGTGAATCGACTGGGTGCCACGCATCCCAAGTATGCGGGGAGAACAGAACTGCAGGAGGCTCTCCGGACACGGCTGTGAGTGAGGCCCGAGATAGAGGCAGGATGTCCCTCTCCTGACTCAGAGGCAGGTAGATCTACCCTGAGGGCCTTGAAATATTCCAGAAGTGTCCCAATCCTAGGCACACTTCTTTCCTTCACAGTGTGCTGTGAGGGGTCCAAGAAGAAAAAGTGAGGAAAACCCCTGCTTCCAAGTGCACCGAACCTACATGGCGGCAGTCAAAGCGATGGGAACGCGAAGCAGCCATCATAGACACTCGAAATGTTTTTCAAAACCTGACTGCTCGTTAGGACCCCAGACGACTGTGAAACTGTGCTAGACTCTCGGCCTGAGGCTCCGGAAATCAGGCTTGACTGTCGCGCCTCCTGGGCCTGTCCTCAGACGCCAGGCGTGAGTCACCTCTCTGACGCCAGCTTGCCGGTTAACCTGCAAACTCCCAGACACTCGCCGCCGCGGTAGCTGACGGGTCGGCGCTGCTCCTTGGCCAGGTGGTGTGTGATTTAGGGAGCCTCTCAGGATGACAAAGAGACGTGGCCTGCTCCCCTCCTCAGATCCGCCTCCTTCCTGAGAGCTGGACACTCCCAGCAGGCTGCCCGTGGCCCCCCTGTGAAGTCAGGGTGCCCAGGGGGTCTGTGTGGAGAGCCCCCCCACGGCTGACTCCCGGACCCACTCTGTGGATGCGCACAGACAATGCTTTCTCATTCCCACAGTTTATGCAGACGCAGCAAGAAGGGGCGTCCCAGCATCCCAGGCTGGAATCTTACAGATGTGGGCTCGCATTGGTCACGTTCATGCCACATCAAATGCTCTGGAGGGTCGCACAGGGCGCTTAGCAGAATCCGAGGGAAACAGCGCCCCGACTGCGCAGTTACTTCTTTTGATGGCAAGCGTGTCTTTTCAGGCACACCCAGCTTTGTATCTCTGGTCAAGAACGGAAACGCGAACCCGTTGGAGTTTGTCTGGAGGACCCCAGCAGCTTCTCTGGCTCTCCAGAAAGGTTCTCATTTGAGCAAGGCCTGCCTCTGCAGAGTCTCGTAAATACCTGTCCCACGACCCCACACTCCACTCAAACCGGAGTGCCGCTTTCTGTGAGTTCGAAGTTACCTCCCTTGTGTTTACTCTCCATCAGTGACACGGAACAAATGCGGGCTTTGGAGGCGAGTGGGGGCTGAAATCCATCTGTGGTGTAGATTTTATCTCGGGGGGAGGGGTTGGCATCAGCGCCTAAACCAGTGCTCCCTGACCCTGGTCTGACACGGCCCCGGAATGTCCCTAGTTATCTCGGTGAGGATCAGCAAAACCCTCCAAAGACACGACTTCAATGAAATGCTTTTCACTGTAGCTACAAAGTTTTATAGTAACTGTGTGTCCCACAGAGTGGGCCTGTCCCTGTCCTTAGAGGCACAGCTGTCTCCTGATGCTCCAAGTAGGACCACGGGGCTCGTGGCTGCAGGATTCTGCCCCTGGTTAGAAGTGACCTTGGACCAGCCCCATCACTTCTAAGCCTCAGCTTTCTCGACGATCCGGTGGGGTAGCAATCCCCATCTATCCACAGCAGTTTATTAGAATTAAGTGGCTTTTCATAGAAGCCACCGTGTGGTTACTGATCAATTCCTTTAAGCATTTTTACAAAATAGTTCAATCAATTCGTCTTGAAACCTCTTACGGGATGTGGTTTGAGTTTGTGACATAAACGCTGAGAAGAGGGAGGCAAATGGACTTGGAGATGACACTTGTCGGCCTAAACCCAGCACGTGCTGTGTGAAGGGATTGTGTTACACATCCTTCCAGAATGTAGCCCCGCTGAGAACCCTGGAGGTCCACGTTACTGCCCGATGTAACAGACAAGGAAGCTGATGAACCAAGAGGCATATACGCCATCTGTGATGCTCCCGCAACTGAACCGGACTGGACAGGCCGTGGGAAAACTAAAGGGATCTTGTAGACACATAGCTCCACCCCCTCCAGGGCTCCTCCCCGCCCCCCAACCCTACGAAGGGGAAAACCCAGTGCCTTGGGGCAAGCTAACCTTCTAGAAAATTTCTAAACAAGAGACCGATGCAGGCTGGGGCTGCAGGTCTTGGAACTGCTACCTGGCTCCCTCTCCAGCCTGAGGGGCGTCCCACGGAGCAAAGCCCCACCAGGAAGCCCTCCACCTGCACTGGCCTTCTGCACATGCTGCTGCCAGATGCACAGCCACACGGCCACCTGCCCCATCTGCAGGGGCCACGCCCCCTTAGCAGTGCTCACATCTGTGCGTTCCAGGAAGTGGAATCAATAAAAATGCAAAACAAAAATTTTTCTGCTGCTTCTCAGCCAACTTCCTAATAGCTTGAATCCTAGATGTAGAAGAGGTGGGAAATCATGAAGAAAAAGTGTACTTTTAAAAGTTTTAAAAGTGTCTACTTTTAAAAGCTACCATGAACCATGTGAAAATAATAGCCAATTAAGTTGAGAGAACTTCCTGCTAAGTTTAATGAACAAGGTCAAAGATTTAAGGTTATAATGAGGAAGGAAACAGTGTTGGATCCGTCATTAAACTGTGGGTCTTAATGCTTATGAATAAGACTAATCCTTGGCCACCCAAGGCCACTTGCGTGTGCACGCACACACACACACACACACACACGCACACACGCACCCAAGATAAGGCATGGTAAGAACTGGAATTCTGAGGAGTGAGATAGCAATGAGAAGCAAAGACCAAAACAGCGCCATTTCGCACAAATGCATCTCATAAGAGGCACACTATTGAACAGGGAGGGTGCATGAACAGAGGAGTGTTTTTATCTGCAGTGTCACCTGTGACTAAATAAACAACTGAAAAGATACAGAATGGGGCCGCCCGTCCTTCATCCACCTGTGCACCCTCCATCTGCTCTTGAAGGAAATGGCCGGCGACAGGGTGACGGCACCCACAGATCGCCATGGGGCACACTGCTGCACTCGGGTGCACACCTAAGCCGTGTGTCCTCACACCGAGTCCCGTGCGAGAAGAAATCGCGCAGAAATCACACACTGAGTCCTGTTAGGTGTCATCCGCCGCTGCCTGTCACGTGGCAGAATTCTATGGTACGGAAAACCAAACGCGGATTTGGGTTCCTTAGTATTGAAAGAACCCCTGGAAAACCGAGCCAGTTGGGACCTACAACCTTCTGAGCCCCACGAACCCGGTGTAACACCCCGACACTGCGGTCCGCTTGGGTCTCACTGTGAGCGTGTTGAACCGTGGCTAATTTTTAATGGGTTTCATCATCAAAAATGCTGAATTACCTAACAAAAACGAGAGAGAAAACATTACGTACTGTATAGCCACAGCCACCTGAGGTATGGTGAACCAGATATACCCACAGTATCGATTGGTGTCCACGCGCTGAGGCACGGAACCCCTGTGAATTTTTTAAGACTTGTTTTTACAAAGAACCTGGCGGACGCTGAGTCTGCGAGATGGAAAGGATATGAATGAGATCTTCATCGTGATTCTGGATCGCCACATGAAGCTGGTCTTCCAGGTACAGTAACTTCTGGCCTATGGCTTCGCATTTTTCTCCAAGTTCTGCGGAAATGATGTACAATTCCTGGCCAGAGGGGGGAAAGAAGAAAACTCGTAAGTTACAGATTGTTTTCAGGGCCGCATCCATGTCAGCGATTCACCTAATGGTACCTGGAGGGAAGGGGTCCCAGCCGAGTTCTCTCAGCCACTGCACCCCGCCCCGGCAGAACCCAAGAGCACCTCTGTCCTCCCTGGAGATCGCTCTCGAGAAGACATGGACCAATTCCGGGCGATTACGATGAGCTCCGTCTCCATAGCTCCACAGGGTACCCCCCCCCTTACGTGGTCACTGCCAAATGCCATTTCCAGCATGGCAACTCCTGGAGCGGCTGTGTCCTAGGGGAAGCCTGAGTCTCCTGGCTCCATCCACAGGCAAACCGACAATGTCATAGGAATTCTAACCAAAGGGGGGCTGAGACAAGTCACGGAGCAGCTAGGCTGGCTATACGGACAAAGGGACATTCTGTAAGGGGACAGGGATGGGCGAGGGCACTGCACATTGGTTTACATGCTGGTCACAGTCCCTGAAAGCTGGGATATTGAGGGAACTTAAATATATATATAGCCACTGAATATACAGGTGTTATATATAAGATACTATATATAGGTGTTGTATGTAATGTCTGTATATATATATAGCCACTGTATATAACACTGTGTGTTAATTTTCTCTGCTTCACTGCAGCATAACCCCTCCCCTTGCAAGAGTCAGGATGATAAATGTCCAGGCCCCTAAGAGCAGACACAAGGACATCTTGCTCACTGCTGGGTCCAGAGCTCCTGGCACAGTGAGAGACACACGGCAGTCATGTGGTATTTACTGGCTCCACGAGAGAAGAACCAAGCCCCCGCACTCCCTGCGTGAGCCAGCAAAGCGCCTTCTCTCGGTCAGTCTGCCGTAGGCATCCATGCAGAGCCGAGTCCCTTCCGCGGCCGGCACCAGGCCCCCACATGTCGGTTATGTCCCCTCCACTCTCATAAATGCAGCCCAACCAGGCCAGCTGGGGGGCACTGAGCCCTCTGCCATCCGTCACACTTTTCCCACCCTTGCCCTGGCCTCTGGGCTCGTCTGACACCCCACCCCACCCACAAGGCCCCGGACAACGTCTCCACCTTCCCTCACAGCAGCTCTGACCTGGGGCGCGTTAGTGACTGTGAACTCCCCACGGGCAGGGCCAAGGGTCATTCCTTCGTTCATCAGGGCCTCAAGTGCACGGCCTGGCTAGAGGGGCCACTGACTTTTCAGAGAAAAGGATCAACAAGGTAAAGAAAATGAGGAAGGGACACAGGGACTCCCAGAATAAAGGGAAAGAAGGAGAGCACATGTGCTCAGCGAGGTGAGCCAGACAGAGAGACATGTCGTGTGACGTCAGGTGTAGGTGAAATCTGAAAAAGCTGAAGTTGCAGCATCGGAGCGTCAGGCGGTGGTTCCCAGCGGCTGGGGAGGGGGTGGGGGTGCCAGCAATGTAATAGGACAAACTTGCGCCTAGAAGATGAGTAAGTTCCGGAGACCCCTCGTACGTACAGCATAGCGATCATGGTCAATGAGACTACATCACATACTTCAGAAATGCTAAGAGGCTAGATCTTGAACGTTCTCACCACAAAAAAAAGAGAAAGAAGCACATGATAGAGGTGTTGGGGCAGTAGTAATTACATTGCAATATATAAATGGATGGAATCAACATGTGGTACACCTTAGATTTATACAATGTTAAATGTCAATGGTCTCTCATTGAAAAGTACAATGAATAAATCGATAAGCAGCAAAAAGCAAGCTCAGATTTAAAACTTAACCAAATGTAAAAGTAGTGTTTTCCCAAGTAATAGCAAAGTCTTAGAAGGAACACCAAAAAGAATTTTGCATAAGGAAAATAATTAAGATATATATTCAAATTATACCACAGAGTTACTACAAAAACTATAATTACTACCCAACAGTTACAACAAAATGCCCAGGTGTGGTGATATTTACTGATAAAACTGCTTTGAGATCATAAGTTATATGACATTAAAATTAGAGTCTATGAATAACCATTAAATCCAGATATGCAACTTAACATTCACTCGAGTAACTCCGGAATGCTTTCAAGTTTATATCCGCATGACCAACCATGTCAGAATGAAACAGTGCTAACTGGAACAATACATAAGCCTTGTAAATATTGGAGACATCAAGTATACCGCAAGTAAAGTACATACGGGAAAGAAAAGAAACCTCGAGACCCCCGACAGCACTGAGGACAGACGGACAGAATAAACGAGCGGGCGTGGGAAGCACGCGTGAAGGGTTGCTCATCACTGGCCGCAGCGGCAAGGACGAGGAGACAGCAAGCCCATACCATCACACGTGTGCGCGTATCTCACTGATCCTAAGAAGCAGTCACTTTATCATTCAAAGCGGTGGGATAACGGAGCAGACGACTCACACAGAAGCCGGGGCGAGGCACGAGGAGTGATGCTGCGGCCGTGCGTGGAACCCAGGGGACACTGAGAGAAAGGACATCTGGGGGAAACCGGTGCGGTAAAGCCACAAGTCACGCATGGAGGAGAAAACGCAGTCTTGGGGGGAAAGTACGTACGGCCGATGATACACTTACAGACAGAAGAAAGAAAAAAACAGAGAACCAGGACATGGAGCCGGGGTTTAAAACATTCCTAAATGGAATCGAATGACTCAATCCTCATTCTAAGGCTAACACAATATAAATCAAAGCTGAATCAAATCATGCAAAAGAGGACTTCACATTTCTCCCCAAACATATAACCCCTGACTGTTTTCCTTTTAAAATCATGTACAGATTGTGTGAGTTTGAGAAGCGATTTCAGAGTGCGTGGTCTGAATTTTAAATTTCAAATTGTTTACATCCTATGATCCAATAATTCCACATCCTGGAATTGCTCAAAAATAAACTGTATATGTTTAAATTTAAAGAATTTCTACTTAGCTTTTAAGTATGAAAAATGTTTACCATATACATTAAATAAAAATATAATATTTTAATGCAAAAGTGGTTATATTGAAAGTATTGGAAACAGGGGACAACTTAAATATCCAACAATAAAGAAAATGGTTAAAATAAATTCTGGTGCATGTGATTTCTATTTATCCGTTAAAATCATTTTTTATCCTCACCCGAGAACATTCTTTCATTGCCTTTAGAGAGAGAGCCAGTGGTAGAGAGAAATATTGGTCAAACACCTGCACCCTGGTGGGGTCCCAACCCACATCCTGGACATGTGCTCTGACTGGGAATCGAACCTGCAGCCTCGTGGTGTATGGGATGACCCTCCAAACAACTGAACCACACTGGCCAGGCCCAGTAAAATAATTTTTAATACAAGACTATTTAAGGATGAGGAAATACTCAAAGAGGCAAAGCACTAAAATATGAACAATTGTTATTTTGAGGGGCAGGAGTATAGCAAATGTTTATTTTTTTCTCTATATTTTGTTGTATTTTCCACATCTCTAAAACATAATGAAGGAAAAAAGACAAACAGTAATTCAAATCATAATGAAAAAATACATCTGAATATTTGTAAAAACAATTTTGAAGATTAAAAAGACAGAAACAGGCCCAAGGAAACAGACTCCGAGGGCTCAAGGCTCCGGGGCCAGTGGCCGAGGTCCAACCGGCTTCTCTCATGGTGCTGCTTCTCCAGCCCACAGAGCGCCCGCCAGGCCCCATGCGCACCGGTGGCTGCTGGCCTGACAGATTCTGCCCCTGGGATGACAGCATCCTGAGTGTGACCTGGGTGGGTATTCTCTGAGGGGCTTGTGGCTTCACCAAAAGGCTCTCACTGGGAATCCTGGGGACAGAATCAGTTTCTAACTAGACTGAGAGCTGACCGCTGACGAGAGGGCAGGCTTACACGTTTCTATCCACCAATGAAAAACTGCGCCACCCACAGAGGACAGGGCGGGACCGGAGTCAGGTAATCAGCAGGACAGAGCTGCAGGGGTCCTGCCTGTTACCCCAAAACGTCCCTGTCCACCTCCTCGCTGGGCCCAGGTATGGCGGAGAATATGCGTGGCCTGTGGGGACCTTGCGTCTCTGCCATCAAGAGACTGTTTATCCCTTCTCTCCCTTGGACCTGGGTGTGCCTTGGAGGGGCCTTCCATGGACAGAACCCAGCAAAAACGCAAGCCTGACTTCCAGAGTCAAATCCTAACAGGTGACGTGTCCTCCCAGATGGCTTTCCCTGCCACCCGGCCCCCGTGCTGTGAGGAAGCTGGAGCCGCAGGGACAGGCCATGTGCACGTGCCTGGTGGAGATCCCAGCTGAGGTCCCGGCGGGAAGCAGACCCGGGAGGCCCTGAGCCCTCAGCAGGCACCACCTGCAGCTCACAGCCCGGGGTCGTGGGGCAGAGACAGCCTCCCCGGGGACCCCACCCAAACCCCTCCCCCACAGACCCACGAGGACAACAAATGCTTGTTTTAAAGTAAGTTGGAGACCACTTGTTGTTCAGCCATCATCGCTAAAACAGGGAGCTAAATGGCTACGCCCCACACGGGAGGCTGGGTGCGAGGAAGGGCTGCTGGCAGGAAGCGCACCCTCGCTGCTGCCTCGCTCAACACCGATGTCCAAGACCCCCTAGACCCTGATGCTCACTGACGTGCCGGCGCCCAGGCCTGCCTCAGCGTGAGGCTGGGAGGTGCAAGAAGAGATGTCAACGAGCAGCCACGGACGCTGGTCCCCGGTCCCCAAGTCCCCAGCTCCTGGTGGAACATGCAGGCTAGTGAACCCTGCAGATACACCCTCTGAGCAACGTATTTGCCTGCAAGACGACCAGCAGGCCTGGCTTCCTCCTAGCTTGGGAAGCAAGCAAGGGCTCGTTCTATAGTGGCCACTCGGCACGGCGAGGCCACCCATCACGAGGGGCAGAGGGTAAGAGACAAGCGGAGTCCTGCCTCGGGACCCCACACGCACTTGGGGGCACACTCTTGGCATGGAACGAAGGGCGAAATCACTGCACTATTGAGTGGTTATGTCCTCCTGGGTATGTGAGGTGCGAAGGTTC